AAAGAGTTGACAAGGTGAAATGCCCTAAAATCAATAATAAATATGACATCGTTAATGTGTATATACATCTATGTCATTCCCTGGTTGTTTAGGCCCAGAAATTAACATAGATAACATCATGTACTTGCGCTTCATACATAGCCATGGAGGTAGGTTATAAATCATAAGAATTACAGGCCATGTGGAATGTGAGATACTTTGAAGACCACGCGGGTTCATTCCATTCGTAGATAATGCCAAGCGAAGGTTTCTTGTTTCTCCTCCAAAATCAGGATAATCATTATCAATTTTCTTCCATTGTGGTGCATCTACCGGATGTCGAAACTTTCCATCGACAATTCTTTCATTTGCATGCCAAGTCAAGTGTCTAGCATCGGTTTCACTACGAAACATGCGTCTAAATCTCGGAATAATAGGGAAATACCATAAGACTTTCGCTGGAGATAATTTTTTCTTATATCGAGATAAACCGCACTTTGGGCACTCATTCAACAATGCATATTCGTTTCGAAACAAAATACAATCATTTAGACATGCCTGTATCTTATCATAGCTCATGCCAATAGAGCACAACATTTTTTTGGCCTCGTAGGTTCGATTAGGAAGAACATTATCCTCAGGAAGCATATCCCTCAAAAGGGCTAATAACTGTGTGAAACTTTTATCCGACCATCCATTGCGCGCCTTTAAGTTGTACAATTTTAATACCGCAGACAATCTTGTGAATTTGGGGCAATCTTTATACAACAGTTTCTCCGCATCGCTTACCAACCTCTCAAACATTTTGGGACAATCTTGAAGATCTTGTTCAAGTGCTTCTGCAATCTCTTTGACTCGATCACAATCATATGTATCTGTGGCATTGTCGTACGAAACATAGGTCGCATTACTTTTCACCCCCGGTTCAACATTCTCGATGCTTTTCTCACCATGAAATATCCAACACGTATAACTTCGATCAATTATGCGCATTAGTAAATTCGATTTCAATCCATATGCGTCAACCCGACCCACATAACAACAACCCAAGCAAGGACATTTCATTCTATTCGGGTCTTCAGCGTGTTCAACATCAAACTTAACGAACTCTAATACCCCATTCTCGTACTCTTTTGACAATCGATCGGCACACATCCATTTTTTATCCATGGTTTTAACTATTATCTAAGTTAAAAAAAAAAACTAATTAGGGCACAAAACGGTATAATACGTTTCTGTCAAAACACAAAGTATACACGGATTTAAAATAAATTTGAGTTCTAAAAAATCAATTTGGAGTAAATATAAAAATTGATCTAAAGTTCCAACATAACTAAGGAATACCATATCATAAGTAAGGGTAGTTAATTACGGTTCGGTTCAGCAAGTTATGGTTTGGTTAACTATGGTTTCAGTTTGGTTATTGAACTGTTTGATGACATGTGGTTCGGTTCATAAACCATGAATAACGGTTCAGTTATTTAAAAACGGTTCAGTTCGGTTCTGTGGTTCAGTTCAGTTCTGTGGATTTTTTGAACACCCATAATTATGATTTATTTTTTCTTCACATTATCAATACCATAACCACAAGTTCATGAATCTCACTACACATTATTTGGTTGCTGGTAATTGCTATTTAGTTAGCAGGTGATAGACAAGTTTAAAAAAATAATATGCTTTTATAAACATATTAAAATTTTATAATAAATAATCACATGTTACAAAATTGAACTAGTTTTGTTTTTGACCATAGAGGTTTACTATAGTAATACAAAACTTGGAAGCAAAGAAATAGAAAGAGCGAGAGTTTCTCACCGTAGTGCCTGCAACCAGGAAAATTGCACTAGATAAGCTTCCTGTTAATGTCACAAAAAAAACATGAATAAGTTAAATTCACACACAAAAGCACTTATTTACAAAAGCACTGACATTCTTGAGATTCTTGAGATTCTTGAAAGCACTTATTCACAAAAGGGTGCGTTATCCCCCAAACAAAAGCACTTATTCACAAAAGCACTATTTCCTTCCTACCCAGCTCTAGCTAGTATCATGACCACCCACATTTTTATTCAATAGAAAAGAACAACTTAATAATGTAAAAGTGCATAAATGGTGTTATCGGAACTGACCTGTTGTTGTTATCAGAACACCAGAGAGAGTTTCTTCTGCGCGGAGGAAGAACCACCAAAGTACGGTTGGACAGTGAGGAGACGAGTTGGAGAAGAGTTGGAGGAAGAACCACGGATGAACGGTGAATGGGAGGAGACGAATTGGAGAAGAAGATGAACATGAGCGATTTCTGTGTGTGGGGTTTCGTTTGTACGATTTGGGATTTCTGGAAATCTGATAACCAATTTAGGGATTAAGACACTATTTAATTACCTTAGACAGCGCTTTCAAGAAGCGCTGCTAAAGGTATTACCTTTAGCAGCGCTTTTAGAGTAATGCCTTTAACAGCGCTTCTGGAAAGCGTTGTCTAAGGTATACCCTTTAGCAGCGCTTCTGGAAAGCGTTGTCTAAGGTATACCCTTTAGCAGCGCTTTAGGCTTTAGCAACGCTTCCTAAAATAACACCTTTAGCAGCGCTTTTAGTAAGTGTTGTCTAAAGTATAACCTTTAGCAACGCTTATTCTAATTTTTTAATTTTTTTTTACTGAAAACCTATAGCAGCGCTTAGGGAAAGAAAGCGTTGTCTATGGTAAGGCCTATAACAGGGCTTATAATAAGCGCTGTCTATAGTATACCTTTAGCAGCGCTTCTCCTTTAATTTTTAATTATTAATTTTTCTGAAAACCTATAGCAGCACTTTAGGCATAAGCGCTGTCTATGTGGCGATGTCTAAAGTCAATTTTGGCATAGTGAAATGTATTGGCTTATATCTCTCAAATGATACATTTTTTGGAATTGAGCTTAGAGATACAAAGTTGTAGAGAATTGAATTTCCTTCAAAATGGGCTTTGGTTGGGGAAAATATGATGAAGCATGTGAAAGTTAAACTTGTTCAAAGTTCAGTTGACTTCTCATAAGGAACCCCTAATTTGGGAACTTTTGACTTTTGATGATTTGAGGGTTTTTCATGAGGAATCATGATCAACTCTTGATCAAATGATGAATGTGACTTCAAAATGTTGATGTTGACCAAAAATCTTAAAGTTTGACTGTATGTTGGCTATGGTTGACTTTTTACCCAATACTGTTGATTTTTAGTCATCTGAGCAATTGACTGAGTAAACTTATATGCAAGGCTTGAAACTTGACATGAGCATTCTTAGAGACCTATGGAGAACCATGAAAACTAATTGGGATCTTGAGAATCCAATCTTCCTTGTGAAACACAAAATCCTAATTGTGGACCCATTGTTTAGAAGAAGAATTTGTCTGATCAACTCTTGAGCCAACTTGAGCATTTGAGGACCTTATGAGAATGTCTTGAAGAAAAATGGGAGGGAAAATTTTGGGGTACAACATTGTGCACTGTAGCACTCAGAAGAAGTTGACAGATATTATGACAAGGGCAATCAAGACGGATCAATTTCTTCGCTTAAGGGGTGAAATTTGTGTAGTTAGTTTTATTTAGAAATTCTAAATTAAGGGATGATATTAAACAACATTTTAGTATTTCTAATTGTTTTTTATAACTTAGTTATTAAGTCTATTCTATTAGGGCCTATGTGGCATTCCTTTTTGTGTATAAATAAATTAGTTGTAAATGTCATAAAAAACAACATTATTTCTCTTGTAGCTTTTACACTCGTCATTATCTTTGCTTTCATAAATATATTCCTTTTATTCATCATCACCTTGTGCACCAATAAGAAAACACCTAAAAATTTATCATCTTAATAGTAGCACAGAGGCCCTTCACCACAAAGAGAGAGAGAGAGAGAAAATGGGCTTATTACCCCTTTCTTGAGCCCCTTTAAATATTTATCTCTCATGCTAGACATCCATTCACCAAATCAAAAATGACATGATTTATGTTTAAATATATTTAAATAAAAATAAGTTAATCAACAAATTGTAATATAAATATCTCAATCTAAAGGTGAAACCAAAAATATACTTAATTAAACACCATGAAATATATTTAAATTTTATTAAAATATTTGTTAAATATCATAAAAAAACTATCACAAAAAAAAGTATTTTTTCAAATTTTATAAAATCTCAATTCAATACACTATTTGCTTAGTTAAATAAATCTTTAACACCAATAATTACTCCATGCAATACAATCTTTGGTGCCGAATAGTGGGAATATTAAAGAGACAAATAATACAAGAAAGTTAAATATTAAAGCGACCATTGATGCAGTGTTTATATGCACTTTGACAAATTCAACCATAACCAAGAAAATTTTCTTAACTAATAAAAGAAAATCTCAATACAAATAATAACTCCACATGCAATAAAATTTTTAATGCCGTATAGTGTGGGACTATTAAAACATTTAATTTGAACCGGAATCATATTGAATTATACATCATATACTCACAAAAAAAGGTATCTATCGATTACGAAATTAAGTACTTTTTCTACACATACAAACAAACTAATTAAAGTCAAAACAAATCTCATATTCACATGCAACTCTCCCATGCCTTTGAAATTTCACAATTTCTTCAATCTACGCCTTGATTTCCGTTAGTTACGTCATTAATTATTTCCTTAAAATAAGCACTTTTTTCATTAAAAAAATCCCACAAAGTCGACTATATTGAAACGGTTTTAAAATATTGTTGCCAATTGGGTCTCATGTTGAATATTGAAACATGGTTGTTGAAAATTACCTTTAATAAATTAGTAGTAATATTATTTTTTGTTGTTTTGATAGCGAAATGCTACGTAGTACTTTTGTTTTGTGTTTTAATATGCCTTCTTTGTTGACCAAGTAGCCCAAAAATGAGGAACTATATAAATTCATGCAATTATGTTACACACATTTCTCATCACAACTTAATCATCTGTTTGCATGGTTTTGTGAGTATTAATCATTATTACACAAAAGAAAGGTAGTAAATAATGGGCAATGTTTTTGGTTCAAAAAAGACTACAAAGATTATGAAAATAGATGGTGAAATGATGAAGCTGAAAACACCGATAAAAGCTGGAGAAGTGCTTAAGGATCATCCAGGTCTTGTTTTGTTGGAGTCTGAAGCAGTTAAGCATTATGGTGTAAGAGCAAAAGCTATTGAGGCACACAAAGAGTTGCAACCCAAGAGGCTTTATTTTCTTGTGGAACTTCCTAAGGAAATAAAGCCGAGAAGGGTTCGGTCGGGGATTGTTATGAGTGCAAAAGATCGGCTCGATAATTTGGTGCTTACTAGGAGGTCTACTTCGGATTTGTCGATTATGAAGCAACGGAAAATGGATGATGGTGGTGGTGGTGATGGTGGTGGTGAGGGTGGTGATGTGAAAGTTAAGGAGAATGGTGGTGGTGTGAGGTTGAAAGTTAGGCTTCCTAAGGCAGAGGTTGAGAAGTTGATGAGAGAATGTAAAGATGAAGCTGAAGCTGCTGAGATGATTATGCGTTTGTATAAGGCTAATGGAAGTAGAGAAAACAAGATTAGTGAAGTTAATGAGAAAATTAACACACCGCGACAGGTTTGTTTTCTTAATTAATAATTTTCAACTTTCATAATTATTATTATTATTATTATTATTATTATTATTATTATTATTATTATTATTATTATTATTATTATTATTATTATTATTATTATTATTTTGCTAAAGTGTTTATGTTAAATTTACAGAAAAGGGTGAGTTTTATGCCAAGCAACGAAGGAGGGATTCAAGTAGCTGTGGCTTCATAATATACTGTATTTTTTTTTTTTTTGGGAGATTTTGTTATGCATAGTTGAATAAGAGTTATGAATAATTATTAGTTTCATTTCATAGAATACTCTTTGTCTTTAGTATAATTAATTAATTGCTCTTTGGTAGAGACACCAGGGTCAGTTATGACTTGTGTGTGAGTAATTGTAAACCTATCATGTGTTTGTATAAATAGTTAAAATCCTATAGGTAGATACTTGAGATTATTGATGATACATGTGGTCTCATTTATAGCTAAAAACATTAAAATGACTTTATAATTAATTTCTAATATTCATTTGTGCTATTATCAGTTTTTTTCTTTCAACATCCTGATAGCTCTCAAATTAGAAGTAAATTTATTATTCAATGAAACAGGAAAATACGATAAATTATTTCCACACTTTTCAAATTTTCAATTACCTACATCACTATTGTCTAGAGATTTGTTTTAAATAACATAAAAATTTACTCAAAAGACACTGTTTATACATTATACTCTTTTTTACAAAAACAAACTTAGGTTATATCATTATTCAATCTTCAATACAAAAAAAAATCATATGTAATGGAATCATAAGTTTACACTAAAAATTGGTTACCCTAAATAAACTATGAGCCATCAAATTCGTTTGACATTTGACAAATTTAACCTCAAATTTATAGTGAGAAACAAGAAGATTCTTAATACTAGTTATAATCATACTAAATTCAGAGTCTCTATTCATGCTTTTGAACCTTTATCCAACTTATAATTCCACTTATGGCAAAAAGGTTCCATTGTCATTTTCATAAAGAACCACTTTTGCAAACTTTACAATTTTGAGCTTTGAACCTATCCCATTGATGCATACAAACCACACAGGTCTCAAGCAAGTTGTACAAACTCATACCAACCCTAAGCAAGCTGGTACAAGCATGTGAAGCTTTGGTCTTGTGATTTTGCTTCAAGTACAAGAAAATTGGCAAAAAGGCTAGCATTTGACAGATCTGTTGGGAAGCTGACCTAAGATCATCTCAATACTAATATACAAACTATATGCAACACATGAGGAAGAAGCCAAGACCTGAAATAAACAATCACCAAGCAAAACACCAAAAACTGTCCCAAACATACAGTTTCTGCACAAACACATCCAGTTTCCATTTGGCTCGTGCGTTTTGTGTTTAGATCATTCAAACACCTTACATACTTGGTATCAAACCCATCCAAACCATCATCCCTGTTCTGTATTCTCTTTTCCACCATCTGCCATTGTTGACTTTGAAGCTTGCAGTTGGACTTGGTCAGGGAGTTCTAGCCACTTTCAGAGCAAGGCAATGGTTGGAATAGATTCAGGGAAGCTCAAAGAAGCTCAAGCAAGCATCAGGCCTCCATTAAAGTCACTACATTTCCATACACGATTCCAGCTGAAGGAGGTAAATTTTCAAACTCTATCTCCTTGTACAGGCAACCTTAGGCCACGATCTGTGAATAAAAATGTAGTTCTCATCATAACGAAGCTATATACATCATTATCTTGCATTAATTTAGAACTGTTAGGCTCAATTTATTGGTCATTTGGACTCCAATGCACATCGTTGTCTTTCTTTGTATAAATTTTTTCTTACTTTTACAGCACCATCCTCTTACTAGGATGTATGTCTCCTTTGTACACAATACTTATTCAAAGTAAATACAAAGACATATCTTTCAAGTATAAAAAACTATTTGTCCTTTTTATTTACACTTGTGTTTTATTTGCAAAAACGTCCAATGATTCGTTAATGAACATATGCATTTGAACATAATTATTGTTTACAAATAAATAAAATAAAAAAAAGACAATTACTGACAAATTGAAAGAATAGGAAAACGTATTTAGGATATTCCATGGGTAATCCCAACAGTAGGTCACTTCAATTCCCCAGCAAGTTGTTTTGAAACTTGAAATCCAACCGGATAACAGTTAACTTCTGATACTCCCCAACCTAGGATAACTCCCCGGTAGAGTGACAGACGACCGAAACTCTTGAAGTTTTTCCCAGACAGGAATAAGCTTTTCCCCCGCAGAGTTTTCAATGCTCCCCAACGGAACAAAGACTCCCATTACTTATCCCCAGTAGAAGTCATCAAAATTCTCTGGATCCTCCAAGTAGATTCCTCAAGCAGTGTACGACATTGCTCTCACCACAAAATTTTTGTCAATACTCCAACACGAAGAGTCCACATATCCTCAGCAGCAGTCGATGATTTATTTTCCTCAGCAATACAGCAAATCAGCTTACATGTGCATACATTACATCCATATACCATAAACATTGATAAAACACATATATTGCATCATACATTTCATGCAACATAATTTTGTGTTCTAGCTGACATTTTACCCTTTTCAGGATAATATTAACAGCTACTGTTAAACAATACATGATCATGATACAGTACAGATACGCTCCGGACACGGATGCCATTCTGTTACTCATTCAGATTTCAAGTTCAAATACAGTTCAGATACGCTCCAAACACGGATGCCATTCTATTACTCATTCATATTTCAAGTTCAAATACAGTTCAGATACGCTCCAGACACGGATGTCATTTTATTACTCATTCAGATTTCAAGTTCAAATACAATTCAGATACGCTCCAGACACGGATGCCATTATGTTACTCATTCAGATTTCAAGTTCAAATACAGTTTAGATACGCTCCAGACACGGATTCCATTCTGTTACTTATTCAGATTTCAAGTTCAAATATAGTTCATATAAGCTCCAAACACGAATGCCATTATGTTACTCATTCAGATTTCAAGTTCAGATACAGTTTAGATACGTTCCAGACGCGAACACCATTCTGATACTCATTCTTTCAACTTACAATTCAACAAACATTCTTGGATGGCATCTACAAGCCCATCTCCAACAAGATTCTATCTCTTCTCCAAATGGCATCTTTAAGCCCATTCCCCCAGCTACACATCGTTGAGTGCAAATTTATGGGCACTTTAGTGTCTAATCATCTTTCACCTTCAAGTTACGAATGACAAAGCTCGCCAGTCTAACTCTTCAGGTCTAAGAAGATTGAACAGGGGAAGCTGTTGTACCCCAAAATTTTCTCTCTCATTTATCAAGATTTTTCTCACAAGATCTCTTTGACTCAAGACTAGATTAGGGTTTGGTCAGCTCAAGACATCTCATCTTGCACTGATAACCCCAAATTAGGGTTTGAGTTTGCACAAGGATTTTTGGACTATCAATGCTTAATGTGACTTTAAAACATCATTATGGACCCCTAAGATCACCCATGACAAGTTTCAAGCCTTGAACCACATTTTTTATCAGTCAATTGGACAGTTGACCTAAAAATTAGCTGTATTGGGGAAAAAGTCAACCATGGCTAATTTACAGTCAAACTTCATAATTTTTGATCAACATCAACATTTTAAACTCAAATTTGTCATTTGGTCAAGTTTGGATCACAATTCCTCAAGAAATTTGATCAAATCATCAAAAGGGCAAAATGGTCAAATTTAGGGTTTTGACTGAGGAAGGGCAATTTCTAATTTTTAACCTAGAAAAGGACCAATTGAGTTCAAGCATGATTTCAGGATTTCAATGGCATTATCTTGACTTAATCACATGGTTCAAAACATCTCAAATACATTGGATTGACAGATGAATTATACAGTCAATTGATTAAAGTCAAATGTATACTGAAAAGTCAAACTTTGACTTTTTGGTCAAAATCAAGTACCAAGGGTCATAATTCATCAAAACATTTGCAAATGTGAAACTTGTTCATCAAGAAATCCAAATTTTAAAATTAGGGTTTGAATTTGAAAATTTTCATAACCTAGAAATTTTCTAAGTATGAAAATTTTCTTATTTTTTCTCAACTTTACACCACTTTTACACCATGATGCCTAATGATTCAAGGAAACTTCCAAACATGAAAGTTGTAGATATCCATGAAATCTACAACTTTTGCTTCACAAACTTTTCCCTAAAGATGTCTGGATCTCAAGATATAAATTTGTGAATACATGGTCATGAACTTGTTAACTTAGTGAAATTTTGCCCTAATTTAGGCACGTTTTGGACCCAACTTCATGGCAATTTTTCACTTAGTTCCAAGAGGTATCTCAAAATTCATTTCAAAGATGAATTATAGAGAAAATTTCAAGTTTTCCAAAATGTTCAAGAACTCCTCAAGATCATTTTTGAGTAGGGAGAATCAAAGAGACGAAGTTGGCATTTTCTCACTTTTTGTTCAAGCCATTTCATGAAGAACCAAGTTGCAAATCAATCCTATGCTGGCTATTTCATGCTGTACAGGTCCTAACTTGTTCTAAACTCCTTAATTAAATGCTTACTAAGTTGACAAATCCTCTATCCATGCTTTTGAACCTTTGTCCAACTTATAATTCCTCTTATGGCAAAAAGATTCCATTGCCATTTTCATAAAGAACCACTTTTGCAAACTTTACAATTTTGAGCTTTGAACCTGTCCCCTTGATGCATACAAACCATACAGGTCTTAAGAAAGTTGTACAAACCCATTCCAACCCTAAGCAAGCTGGTACAAGCATGTGAAGCTTTGGTCTTGTGACTTTGCTTCAAGTACAATAAAGTTGGCAAAAAGGCTAGCATTTGGCAGATCTGTTGGGAAGCTGACCTAAGATCATCTCAATACTAATATACAAACTATATGCAACACATGAGGAAGAAGCCAAGACCTGAAATAAACAATCACCAAGCAAAACACCAAAAACTGTCCCAAACATACAGTTTCTGCACAAACAAATCCAGCTTCCATTTGGCTCATACGTTTTGTGTTTAGATCATTCATACACCTTACATACTTGATATCAAACCCATCCAAACCATCATCCCTATTCTGCATTCTCTTTTCCACCATCTTCCATTATTGACTTTGAAGCTTGCAGTTGGACTTGGTCAGGGAGTTCTAGCCACTTTCAGAGCAAGGCAAGGATTGGAATAGATTCAGGGAAGC